CTGTTAATCTGTTACTGTTTAGGATGAATATATCTTGGCATTTTAAATAATCACTTTTAACTAAGTTTATGCTTAGTGCTTTCTTTTTAATAGGAACTAATCATTAGTTTCTCAATGGGAATTAATGAGGTTAATTTGGCATGGAATTCTGAGCAAAGGAGGGGACAGAAATCTTCTTTTGGAGCACTAAAAATGCTTTGTTAAGTTTCCTTTACAAATTCCCAGAGCCAGGGGGGTGCTGGGTGAGAGTTTTTCCGAAGATTTAAAGGCTCCCCACTGTGCTTGCTCTCCAGTCACGATAGCATTGGGTTGTCTGCGTCTCCTGTCTGTTTACATGGAGAAGAAGCAGCCAATGTCACTGAGGGTGAAGCAAAGATAAGATTTGGGTGGCTCTGTACCTACTTGTGTATTATTCTTTGTAAAAAGCATTTACCTACCATGTCTGTTAAGTATTTTATTAAGAGGCTTTCAGTTTGGCAATTTTTTTTATTATTATTAAAGAGGGAAAACATTTCACTTATTTCTTCCCATATTATTGTCTGTGCCGTTGTAAGGTTTGGGGATATTGGGAGCTGTCCATATTTGAGGACTCAACCTTGCCTAATAGCACAGCCACCTCTGTAGCTGAAAGAAAAGCTTGGGGGAAATGGGTGGAGCTGAGGAAATAAATGCCACCTTGGTTTAGGTCTCTCTGTTTTCTTTTTGCCTTTTGAGTCAGTCTCCACTGGCTGCTCCCACTTTGGTGTTTGCATGTTGTGTTGTGTGATGGAATCAAGTTAGAGATGAGGAAACTGAGGCACAGTGGAGTTATACTCTCTCAGGAACATTTACACGGCAAAAGGACAGAACTCAAGCTTTTAGTCTGGGTGGAGACTTAGTAGAACATGGCGCTTCTGTCCTAGAAATTGGCTAGGCCTATGAGTGGCAAACCCTTCTATCCTTAAAATAAACCTCTGCTTGTCCCTTCCAAAGTTGTTGGTACCCCAAACGTCACATCCTTTGGGGGCAAAAACAGCTTAGGAAATCAAAGGTCATGAAGAGTGACATTAAGAAACGGTATGTTTTAGTGTCTGTGCATGTGGATTGTATGCGTTCCATGTTGCCCTACAGCACCGATGTCAGTTCTGAACAAGATACTTTCAGTGATGTGAGGGGTGGTGTCTGTGGCTGGCATCCTTTCTCCTGGTTCTAACTCTATCTGTGCTCTCCAGTTTTATTCATCTGTATGACAACCCTAAAGGGATGCCCTGGTGAAGAATGAGAAATTGCCAGGGTCTGGCAAATGAAATTCCACAAGTCCCTAGAGGGAAGTGAAAATTGTTTATGTTTGGAGTATAGAAAGGTAACCTTAGCTAGACTGTGATTATGCACCAAAATGTAAAAACAAAATCAGAATATGCCCTCAAATGTTGGGGAGAAGAATATTGGGTAGAAGAATGTTGGGCAAATCCTGATTTGTTAAAAAAAAAAAAAAAAAAAAGCTAAGTGGGGAATGGTGGAATCACATGGAGGGAAGAATTAGAAAATAGGTTTGGAGAAAAAAATTCAGGCAGGGGGTGGAAACAGCATAATTAATACTCATTTCCCCACTCTAGAGTTTGAAGTATTAATAGTAGACCCTTATGGGAAATTAAGGGGATGTGTAAGGAATCTGAAAATTTTCTAAGCAGAAAATAATATTTCTTTGGAGAGACGGCATGTGTCTTAATGAATGTAAACCTGCATTAAAATGGAGAGAAAATTATGAGCAGAAAGAGGGAGAGGGAGAAGCAGGATAAATTTTTTTAAAATTGAAACTAAATTGTCCTCTGTCTTAGAGTATTTAGTATTTCCACTTTAGATTATGTAGTATTTTAAATATTTCTTCTTGGGGGAAATTTATTTAATAGTAGCAAAGCCTTTCAAAAATTAGAAATTTTAGGGTTTAGATTTTTTTTCTTTCACATGCTTATTTGAAGTTGAGACTATAACTATGTATAAAATAGACATTATGTATTAGAAAAATCTTAAAATAAATAAGGATAGTTAATGACTTAAATATATTGAAAGTATTAAAATTATTGAGTCATAAATAAGATCCCCAAACTATGTTAATGGCAGAATAAAATGCAGAAAAACTAAGTATATAAGAAACTGCTATCTGTGATAAAATTTAAAACAGAATATTTTAATTGCAGCATTAATTTAATTTAATTATATTTAAGCCTTGCTACCTAAAAGTAGGACTCAAAAAAATACAAATATTAATATGCACATTATGATTTTTTACAGAGTAGAAGTGATAATAATTTACTTATTTTTTTTTATTTCTATAGGAAGATACCCAAAATTTTATCTCCTAAAGAACCTTGAAGATTTTTTTTTAGATTCTTTTAAAGGTGAAACTTTTCTTGTTTAGGTAAGAAAACATTTTCTATTGTTTATCCATGGGTCGAAAAGAGAATTCAATTAGAGGAAAGAAGTAACATGTACTTAAACTTTGTCTATTCTAACTGATGTAAAACATTATAAATATGATAGAAAGCAATATTTTTAAGTTAAATAAAACAAAATAATTAGAAATTTTTCATTTAAAAACATCAATTTGTTGAGGAAAAAATGAGGCATTTTGTCTTAGACTGACATATAATAATAGGATTCCCATGATACATCTTTTTTAAGTATTTAAGACATAACAAAATTAAAATGAAAAGTTGTGTTTCTGGTGATAAAGTTTTAAATACTATTTAATAAAATCAGAAAGAAGAGATTTTTCAGCCCTAAAATAGTCCTAAACATAAATGTAAACCAACATGATAATAAACAATAGACCATTTTGATATATTTGAAAAACTAGTGATTGCTTTAAAGCAGGCCAGTGAATTAAAGTTAATTAAAATTAGTGCAGTATCAGAGAAGCTTAATCTCTGGGATATACTCACATGCTGGGAAAATGTTGTTTTGTAGGGCCAAGAAGGTAAATATAAACAATTTGTTTAATCAGGCAAGAACCAGTACTTTGTGTGCAACCTCTTTTCAGTTTTTGGTAAATGTGTTATACTGGTAACATAAGAAAAGCAAAGACAAACTTTTTAAGGATATTAGAATATTAGCAACTCATTCTGTTTTTGGTAATAATCCTATTAGTGCAGTTTACTTGCATGAACTATATAAATTACAAATATGAAAATCAGATGCTTTAAAGCAGATAAACTAAAAATGCAATTCAAATATCTAAACAAGCTTTTAAATGTTTTGAAGTATTGTATAAAATTAAAAGAATAAAAGAAGTAGTTACAGAAATTATACATAGAATCTATTATAAATATGCAAATTTTTACATTCTAGCTTTGTCACCAATACCACATTTAGAAAAAGAAATAGATTGCAATGCTTGTCTTCTATTAACATGTGTATGTTCTCAAAAGTACACAAGATTTCTCCTGATTTTAAATATATTATTATTGTTACACATGAATATTTTAAAAATCTTAGTATAGAGTTTAGGGTTTTAAAAAATACACATTAAAAATCATGTGGTAAAACAGAATCTAAAAATTTTGAGAAAAATACTAAATTTTTGATATGAATTTAAAGTATTTCACTTCTAGAATAAATATGTTTTCTTCTTATGAAGACATTTATGTTAATATTAAGTATGTAGGTTAAGATTTACTTAAATTACTGATGTAGGATATACTAAACTTCTAAGTTATTTTTAAAAGAAGGATTATGGTAATCTGAAAAATTATACATTTTTTCTAATGTAATCTTTACATAAATCCCTTTATTATATCAGTTTTTAAATCTTATATTTTGATGGTTAATATAAAAGAAAAAAATGACTAACCTCCTAATAGAAAATGTAATCTTATAGCACTAAAAAGAGAGTTATAAGCATGTAATAAATTTATGAGATCACATTCATTTCTGACTTGTTTTTGAGCCTTTCTTATGATTATCATATATTTTAATATCTGGAGAATAATATATAAAATATGCATTAAATTTTTATGATCTGACAGCTATTAAAAAATAGAGGGAAAAATACAACTTTGCCTAGCTAAATACTAACTAAAGTATTAGGTGAAAATTAGAAAAATACAGAAGCTAAAATAGTATAATCAACTAAAATTCCAAATATATATGTATTTAATTTTTTATATCTTGGCATATAGCATTTGTCTTCATTGTTTAGGAAACTACATATTATACATGAGTGAAAAAATAAATGATGGAGAGGTATTTTCTCATCATAGTTTACTAGATAAAAAATTTACTAGTAAGTTAAATGAAATATTAAGGGACACATTTAAAATAGAATTTTGTAGAGTTTTACTGAAGATGTATCTTTCCAACAAGGCTTTGGGGTTTTTTTTGTATATATTAGGATTTCTGAGGTTTGTGTTCATGATATATATTTTCAGTGCTATTTCAAATTGCAAAATGTTTCTGTGGAAAAATCAGACATTATGTACATTTTATTTTATATTTGGGTATGAGAAAAATAACAGATACTTTGGGAGAATTCTGCTTGCTGTTTCAATGCAAGCATCAAATACTAAACAATTATTTTGTCTCAATCAGTTACACGTCTGGGCATGTTACAGTTTGTGTAGGTACATGTTGGATATTTAACTTATATTGATGATTCAGTGATCTCTAAACATGATTGTTAATCTTTACTGAAATTATGGGCAAAATATTTAAAAGAAATGCGTTTTTAAAACTCTTATTTTTAATTAAAATGAGAAAGACTTTGGAGTTCATTCATGAATAAAATATGTGATTGTGCAGTTTCCTGAAAGAATGAACTCTTAGCTTATTTTTTGAATGTTAGTAAAATTTTTCTTTATTTATTGTTTGTTGGCATTTTAAAGTCATGAAGGAATAAAGCAGCATTATATGTTATTTCTGATTATCTTTCTATCAATAGAGAGAAAGGAAAGGCAAAATATATGGGCACGATAGAATTTTTCCCTTAAAAAAAAGAACTTGAAATTGAAAAAATATATTACCTACAATTAATTTTTCTTATTAGTACTTATTTGGAGTTGCATGAATTTTTCTGAGCCAATAAATTGGAGGAAATTTGTCTTATAAAATGGAGAGATGTAGAACATTGTGGTCAGTTATAGGATAGTACTTCTCTCATGTTGATTCCCAGAACTTAGAAAATAGATCCTAAATTAATAGTGTGGCGTACACGATCTCTGGGCTATAATAATTTAGGAAAATGTTGGAAAATGATAAAGGCGAAGGGGAGGATTGAAGCTAAGTATACCCCTTAAATAGTAAACATTTGACACTGAGAGGAGTGCTCTGGAGATTAACAAGTAGTACTCTGTCAGGGATAATTTTCTGGGCAGCTAAGGTTGTTTGTGTGGTAAGGGAAGGCGGCGACATATCATAACTGTAATTGTTTGATAAAATTCCCAAAGTTAGTTTCGGATTGTAAGGGTGAAAGTAAGTGCAACAGTTGGGTGTTGGAGGGGGAGGGGAGCAGAGCTTGTCAGCCCTGGCGCCACGACAGGGTTAACGGCGGTAGCGCCCGATGCACTCTGGGAGTTGTAGGCCGCGGGCGCAAGCATTGTGGGAATTGTCGTAAAAGTCTGCTTTCCTGCTGTGATGGCCGCCCCTGAATCTGGGAGTTGGGGGTTTCTGGCTTTCTGGAGGGTTTAGGGGGCTGGCTGTCCTGTCAGAAGGCCACCAACAGCCCCCTCAGGTTGCCAAGGGCCTGTTAGTTGTGTTCCTGGGAGGTGGACGAGCGGCCTGACTGGTTAACGTTGGGGTTTGCAGTCATTAACTCGGCCAAGGGGCCTTTAGAGACTGCAGGCTTGGTGAGGAGGGTCCCAGCCGGCTGGACGCTGGTTGTCTGACTTTCTACCTTCGAAATGTCTGGATGACCAGGGCCTATGTTTTGGAGTGTGCTTTATGTTGTGGTTTGTGTCCTGCACCCTCCACTGTTTACAGTATTCAGCCCGGTCCATGTAGCAGTTGGTACCCATGACCCTGTTTGGGGTTAGTTGGGGATCTTTTTCTTAGGCCTAGCGGGACTGATGCAAGATCTGGAAGTTTGGAAGGTGTGTAGAGCAATGTACTGGTGTTGTCTGTCTGGGCTGTAAGAAATTGCATGAGTTATGAGCGTGGCCCTGAGTGTGTGGTTGGCTTTCTCTTGCTCTTGGTGAACTTTACCCCTTATTTGTAAATGCTGAGAGACAGTGTCAGGCAGTTCCTACTTGTGAAATGCTTTTTTGTTAACTTGGATGCATTTTTAACTCTTTGGGATCTTCCAGAGGACTCTTTTGCAACTGTTTGTAGAAAGGTATGTGTGGAAAACTGAATTTAAAGCAAATGCCAGTGTCACAGTACCTTTTAGTTCTAGGGAGCAAGCCCCCTGGGCTTCCCTGGTGCTGTGAAGTTATTTGGGTTCATGTATGAAAATCAGGTTTGCTTTGAGTTGTGTTACCTAACTTTGGGCTCATAGTGTTTCTCTGCACGTCAGGACACTGATCTTTGGTATTGGGTACTCTTTCAACAGTTGAGGCAAAATGGAGCACTAACATGTAACTGCATGTATCAGAATATCAAGATAACACTAGGTGGCAAAGCAGTACCTGTTTTACCTGTTCACAGAAACATGGACCTCATTGTCTCTGCCACCCTGTACTGCCCCATAAATTCTGCCTTATTTCCATGGTCTGGTTGTTGTCTATGTAACAGAGGCTATGTTGTCTATGTTGAGGCCCAACTGGTCATGAAAGCCATTTCTCAGACAGCATTATTATGTATTTAAAAGCATTTTTCCCCACAAGTAGAACTGGCATCTAGAAAGTTTTTCATTCAAGTTTGGTAAAGTAGGGAATTTGAAATAAGGTACAACAGTGGTTTTGAAAATCAGCTATTTTTTAGTTTTAGGGGTGGCTATGTGATAGAAATGATTTGTAGAGAGAGTAAAAAAAATAATATTCTGTTTTTCTTGATATTTTAGAGCATATAAAAACTGGGCCACTTTTATGTATCATTAAAAAGCCCTTTGGCATTTTGTGTTGAATGGGGTTTTCATAACTTCTCTCTTGTCTGGATTTGTGTAATGGTAGAGAAAGGAGCAAAGCTAGCTGGGTTTGTTTATGTGTGATTTGTTGAAAATGATTTCAGGTATAGGCTGATAGACAGATACTGTTCTTGCTAGTCAGATCTCAGCCAAGTATTTCCTTCCCTCTGACCCTGCCCTCATGTGTCTCAGAATATTAACTAATCTCCATTTGAAAAAAGATTGGGAAATTTTCCCCTTTATAAGTGCTCCATCTTGTCCAAATTTGTTATTATTGTTGTGATAAAATACTGTTTTTTCTGGTGAATTGGTTTTGTATCTTAGAAAGACTGGATGGCTACAATTTGTAGATTTGTAGGATCATTCAAAACTGACCACAGGTACACTGTTAATTGGCTTTGAAAGAAGATGCCTAAGTTTTTAATTGCCAAGTTACCTCTGACTTGAGTTAAGCAGAACTAACCAACCATTCATTAGAAAGTGCTTTGAGAGTGGAAGCGTACTTAACTTTTGGTAAGTGTAGAGGTAAACTTATCTCTGCATTTGTACAGAGCCCTTCTGGACCTTTATAAATAGACGTATCTCTCTACAAACTGGTGAGGTTTTACACCCCAGAATTCTGGCTTTTAATCCCTGAGGCCATTACTTGGTACTCTGTTTTCCACCTCCACTACTCCAATTCTGCTCTTGGTGTGAAATGTTTTTTGTAATATACAAAGGCAACAGTATTTGTTTGTTTGTTTGTTTTAAGTGGTAAGATCTACTTATGTTTTCTGGAGAATATGATTCCTAAGGTTGTGTACACATATTTGATAGAGGTGTCAAAAGCTGTCTCTTTGAAACCTAAACTTTGCGTGGTTTCAACGAAACTCCTTTCAATGAGACATAACACCAAAGGATAACTTTCTTGTCCAAGGTGTTATAAATAAAACCCTTTAGTTTTGGTGTTCATTCAAAAAAGAAATGCAAACTTCTGAATAATAAAATTTGGAAGATGGCAAAGTATTAAAGTTTTCATTTTAGATTGTAGCCAAAATTTGGAGACACTGGGAAGGGAATTGAGTGGTATATCTATTATATTTGGGGCCTTTACTCAGGTCCTTTCTCATTTGTTGTTTTCCTGTATATCTGTTCACTTTGCTGAAAATAATCAGTTCCTATTAATGCATTTTTGCATCTATGAACATTTATAAGTGGTAAAACTACATATGCAAGATAGCAAATCACCCATTCAGGATTTGACCTTATTTTTCATTTATATTATTTGAAGAGGAAGAATTATTAATTGTAGTTTATGCACTTATATGTGGTTTTCTTAAGTTAAATACATTTGGTTTTAGATTGCAATACTTCTAAACATGGAGTGTATCTCCACTCCACCACTCCACCCTCTTGGAGGATAATAAAGTTTATGGGATGAAGGGGAAAGGTATTTTTAAAACTTCCATGCCTATCAATGATGAATTTTACTTTTTAATTCTTCCTACATGTATTTCCAGGGCAGAATACATTATCTTTGTTATGCTGGGCCTTATTTTTTGAATTTGGAGAATTTGTCATATGATTTTCACGAGCAGGACAGATCAAACCACCAGTTACTTCAAAATACTGAATGTAGATTAAAAGTTATTCATTCGTTTCCATTGGAAAGAAAGCAAGATTATATGCATATGTCCTGCCATTTAAAGGATTCTATATCTTAAAGCGCCAAAAAATCATAAAAGATCATTTTGCTTTGTCCTCTGCCTTCCTTATTTTACTTTTTGTTCAACTTTCTTCCTCAGTGTATCTGTGTGGTTCCAGAATTTAAATTACATTTTTGTTTATTTTAGAAATCTTTTTTCAAATTATTTGCTTCAACTTAAAAAAAATTTCACCTAAAATATTTGCAATAAGGGTATCATTTTAATAGGCATTATTGTTATAGTTTTTATAATTAAAATGCTATAAATATTGAATTTCTTTCCTGGGAAAAAATGAGCCAATGACTGACTTCCTTAAACCTCACCACAAAATTCCAGAGTTTGGCCTGCAAAAAAAATCCAGTAGGTATAGGTGTAGTTTCCTTTTTTGTGATTAACAGTCTAGCAATGAAGAGCGATATATGACTTGGCCTCTTCAGAAGGAATCTGGAAAGCATTCCTTGCTTGACATTCTCATGAAATACACTGCTAAAATTTTCTTAGCACAGTGTAAGAAGAAATCACTGAATTCACAGTTCTATATGTGTTTACTAATCTAAAAAATTATTTGTGCCGGGTGCGGTGGCTCACGCCTGTAATCCTAGCTCTTTGGGAGGCCGAGGCGGGTGGATTGCTCGAGGTCAGGAGTTCGAAACCAGCCTGAGCAAGAGTGAGACCCCGTCTCTACTATAAATAGAAAGAAATTAATTGGCCAACTAATATATATAGAAAAATTAGCCGGGCATGGTGGCGCATGCCTGTAGTCCCAGCTACTTGGGAGGCTGAGGCAGAAGGATCGCTTGAGCCCAGGAGTTTGAGGTTGCTGTGAGCTAGGCTGACACCACGGCACTCTCTCTAGCCTGGGCAACAAAGCAAGACTCTGTCTCAAAAAAAAAAAAATTATTTGTAAACCACTTTCATAATTTTTTTAAACTCTGAAATAAGTCTATGTTTGGCCAACTTGTTCCTTTTTATTTTACTATTAACAAAAGTATAGAGTATATGCAGTTTATAAAGGAAAAAGAGCCCATTGTACTAGAGAGTTAAAATGAAGACAATGGTTTTTAACTTTTCTGTGCCATTTGTTATAATTATTTTCTGATTGAATTTGTAATACATTATAATGGAGTTAATTTAAAAATATTTGTGAAATGGCTTATTCCTAGATAAGATCCCATATATTAATTTTTTAGACACATAGGGTTATATAGTTTTTTTCATCCTAACAAAAGATTTCTAAAAAGAAGCCAATAGTAAAGTAAATGAAGCTGATTATTATTATATTCTTAAGGAAGTATTCTAAAATTAAAACTTGGAAAAAACATAACTTTTATCAGCACAAAAGATTTGAGATATGTAATACAGTTTTTATAAATTGGTAGGGAAAAATGGAAAGGCACAGCCATGGTCTGACAATTCACAAAAGAAAAAATTAAAATGGCAATAACAATGTGGCAGATTGTGTTTTCCAAAGATGGCTTCCCAGTTTGACATGCTTTTCTGAAAATGTGACATTGTCACTTTGTTGTCGCAAGGTAGAGTCTTTCTACTTCCTTGAATCTGGGTAGGCCCTTTGATTGTTTTGACTAAGGGTATGTGGTAGAAATAATAATGTACCAGTTCTAGGTATTGTTGTGACCTGGCCTAACAACTTTTGATTCCTGCCTCTTGGAAGCCAACTATTATGTTAGAATTGGCCTGAAATCACTGTGTTGTGAGAAACCCAAAGAAGCTAGATGAGACATAAAGTGGAGAGGCCAAGGAGCACCAAAGAAGCAGAACTGTAAGTGAAGAAGCCATTTTAAAAATGGATCCTCCAGCCCCAGCTGCCCTAGTTGTTGCTGTGTAAATCAGGTGAACCACTCAGTGGAGCCCTTCCTAATTTCTGACCCATAGAATCATGAGCCAAAGAAAATGGTTTGTTTTAAGCTTCTAAGGTTTGGGGTGGTTTGTTATATAACAATAGGTAACTGCTACAAATACTGGGGGAAATGTTTATATTTTATAATAGATGAAAATATGGGAAAATACATTTGCACATCTAAATCTGATAAGGAACTGGTATCTACAATAGACAAGGAATGCCTAAATCATCAAACAAAAAAGAGCCCCAATTGGAATCATGTGTCAAGGTTACAAATGGACAGTTTTTAAAAAAGGAAATCTAGGCTTACAACATACACAGATATGCTCAAACTCATTAATCAGAGGGATTCAGATTGAAGCAAAAACAAAATATCTCTTTATACCCAGTTGACTAACAAAAATTAGAAAGATGGATGATGCCAAGTATTGGTGGGGCTTGGGGGATGGGAACCGTTATACACTGCTGGTGAGAATGTAAACTGGTGGAGTCATTCTGGAGAGCAATCTGGCAGAATTTAGTTGAATGTACATACTAAATTGTTTCTAGGTATGTGGCCTCAAAAAATCTTAAGCAGGTCTCTAAAGGAACAAATATGAGGATATTCATCACATTGTTTTTGATGGCAGAGGCTTAGATACCGCTTGAGGTTCTTCATACCTCAGGGAATACATAGGTAAAACATGGTAGGTACACACATGTAGTATAGTATTCTTCCCTTATCCATGGTTTCAGTTACCCATAGTCAACTGCAGTCTGAAAATATTACATGGAAAATTCCAGAAATAAATACAAGTTTTAAATGTTGTGACATTCTGAGAAATAAGCAATTTCACACCATCTACCAGATCCCACCCAGGATGTGAATCATCCCTTTGTCTAATGTATCCACACTGTACACACTGATCACCTGGTAGTCACTTAGTAGCCATCTCAGTTATCAGATGGAAAAAAAAAACCAAACATGGCATATATAGGGTTCAGTACTATTGTTGGTTTCAGACATCCACTGGGGGTCTTGGCATTCCAAGAGGAGTAAAGGAGGCTACTGTACTATGAATCAGATAGAAGCAAAAGACTACATATATCTACAACACATATTTTAAAAATACAGCATTTAGTGAAAATAATAATGGAATCTAGAAATGCTCAAAAAGATGCGTCAAGAACATTGGAATGGTTACCTAAGGGCATGAAAAGTATTGACCATGGAAGAAGAGGGAGAGAACAGGAGTGGAGCATGAGATTAAAAAAAAAAAAAAAACTAAATAAAAAGGCCAATGATGATGGTGTGCAGTGAACCAAGGCCTGTGATTAATCACACTTTCTGTGCCAGAGATCAAACAATGCTTCCTCCCCCCAAGAAGAGAAAAATTATTGTCAAATAATCAATGTAAAGTAGAAGAATAGAACTATTCTTTAAAGCTGCCACAAATTTTTAAATCAATAGAGTGGTCAAATAGTCAATCTCATGTTTTGTTAGATAGGCAAATTGGTATGACTTTATACAGGACAGTATTTATCAAGGTCCTTAAAAATTATCATATCCTAGAAATAAACCATTGTAAATTGAAATTGAAAACAAAACCACTTAAATAGCACCAGTAAACATGCAACATGTAGGGATACATGTAACAAATAATGTGTAGACCTGTACACTGAAACTACAAAACATTGCTGAGAGAAATTAATACCTAAGTAATGAGAGATCCCATGTTCATGGATTGTAAGACTCAATTAACATTTCAACTTCAAATTGACCTATAGTATCAAAGCAATCCCAACCAAAATACCAGGAGGATTTTTTTATATATACATATACAAAACTCAATAGGCTGATTCTAAAAGTTATATGGAAATGCAAAGGCTCTAGACTAGCCAGGACAAGAAACAAAGTTAGAGGACTTACACAACTTAGTCTTTAAGACTTACTTTAACTGTAGTTACTGAGACAGTGTGATTTTGACATAGATAGGTAGGTAAATCAATGGGAAAGGAAAAACAACTCAAACCAGTTTTCCTCTGCTCCTCATACCACACAACAATCAACACACAGAAAACGTCTGTGACCAAATGTATGCGGAGTTTCCCACACACACCAAGCAGTCAATTCTGCAGTGGACTCCAGCTGGGTGTCTTCCAACTTAATTCTGACACTGTCTACCTGAAGATAGTATCAGATCCCACAGGTTGAGGGCTGTCTTATAAAAACTGCTTCGCCTTCAGATGCCAGTCACAAGTCCAAACCTCTGGAACTTTCTGACCAATGGGCTTCAAGGTAGGGTCCCATGACACTCTCTTTGGGTTCAATTTATTTGCTAGAGTGGCTCACAGAACTCAGGTAAACATGTATGTTGGTTTGTTATAAAGGATATTACAAAGGATACAGATGAAGAGATGCATAGGGTGAGGTATGGGGGAAGGGGTACAAAGCTTGCATGTACTCGCAGTGTGCACCAGCCTTCTGGAAATTCCACGTGTTTGGGTGTCTGTAAGCTCCCCAAACCCTGTCCTCTTGGGCCTTTTATGGAAACTTCATGGGATAGGCATGATTGACAACCATGCAAAAATGTAGTTGAACAAAAAGGATATGATCTAATATTAATAGGCTGTAAGGAGAAACCCAGCAAGGCTTGTCTGTTCAGATTATTCTTGGCCTTTCTGTGCAGCATTCCTTTCTCCAGGGTATGGGGCAGGACCCTTCTGAAATGAGAGTCTTACAATCCACAATCAGAAAGGTGGGCGGAGATTAGAGTCCTTCACTGGGCTGGTGAAAGGTGGGCTGGGGAAGTTTAGAGAGAGAGAGATTCTGTTTTCTGAGACCTGCTTCTGAGGCCTAAAGAGGCCCAAAATTATAACAAAAGACTATAACAAGGGCTATGGGAGTTATGAACACGGATCCATGAACAAAAACATATATATGGCAATGCAAAGGATATGTATATATATGTCTCAATATCACAATAGGACAAAACAAAATGGATATGCACAAATATATCATCAAGAGATTTTCAATAAACTTGCCAAGGGTAAGTCAGTAGGGAAAAGATAATCTTTTCAACAAATGGTGCTGGAAATCTTGGATATCTATATGCAAAAAGATGAGACTTGTCCCTTGCCTCATACTATATTCAAAAATTTGCTTGAAATGGGTCATAAAGCTAAACATAAGAGCTAAAACTATAAAACTTGTAGAAGAAAACAGGAGAAAAATCTTAGATAATACAAACATTTCTTAGATAAGACACAAAAAGTAGGAACCATAAAAGAAAGAAATTGATAAATTGGACTTTATCAAAATCAAAAATTCTTCCTCATCCAAATACACTGTTAGGAAAATGAAAAGCAAACCACACACTGGGGAAAACATTTGCAAGACATTTGATGAAAGATTCCTCTCCAGGATATATAAAGAACTCTTATAATCCAGTAATAAAACAGACTACCTAATTAGAAATATGAGCAAAAGCTTTGTTATATAAATGAGCCAAAGATGGCTTCTGTGTATTGCCTCCTGGTTTTTTTTTTTTTATTTCTTCACAGCAGGCTGAGACCTATTTGTTCAAAAGCCCACCAATGCCAAAGTCCATTTTATAAACATCCAATTATTTTAAAAGTAGCCCAAAATGTGATTTTTAGTAATTTAGAACCTGCCTGCTTTGCATAAGCCTTGAAACCACCCCACACCTGCTGGCAATAGAGAAGACCAGGCCCCACATCACTGCTTCTCTTCAAAGCTCTCTGACCCAGCGACGCTCTGCCATACTGCTGGAGTGATATCACTTAGACATGTAAGCTACCTCTGTGATTTCCCTCTCCCTGGGGAGTTTCTGGCACCTCCCCACTTAGTCCAGAAAGCATCCTGCTGTGAAGGACTTCCTCTCTCATGCAACCCTGTCCAAGCACCGCGCAGTATAGCTTGTTGTGTGTTACTGCTTCTTGTCTTTTTCCTTGATCAGCCCCCCAAACCCTCAAACCCTCTACATGATTTTAACAGATACGTCACAAACTAAGATAAAAAAAAAGTCCAACAGGCACATGAAAAGATCCTCATTATCTTTCCAGTAAAAATAATGCTAATTAAATATGAATTAATTAATGCTAAAGCCACGTTGAGATACCCCTACATATCAAACTAGATAAAAAAGACTAACAATACCAAGTAGGGGTAAAGATGTGGGGCAACAGGAGCAAAATGGCACAGCCACTTTGGAAAACAGTTTGATAGTTTCTTATAAATTAAATATTTACCATATAACCCACAATTCTGCTCGTAGTATTTACTCAAGGGAAATAAAAGTTTATGTCCACGCTGACTTATACAAGCATGTTCATAGCTGTTTTATTCATAATAGTAAAAAACTGGAAACAACCCAAACATTCATTGACTGAAGAATGGATAACCAAATGGAATACTACTCAGAAATAGAAAAAGAAAGGGAGGTGGCAGAGCAAGATGGGTGAATAGAAATTTCCAGTGATCATCCCTCCACACAAACACCAAATTTAACTACTATCCACACAAGCAAGCACCTTTTCTTTTTTCTTTTTTTGAATCAGAGTCTCAAAGTCTGTTGCCTGGGCTAGAGTGAGTGCCGTGGCATAAACCTAGCTCTTCGGGGGAGGGAGAGTGAAGTGATTGTAGGACTTTGCATTGAAACCTAGGGCCACCCTGGCACAGGGGAGCACACACAAGGCAGATTTCTGCCAGTGCTCCTGGAGGGAGGCTTTAGACCAGCCCAGCCAGAGAGAAATCCTCCAGCCTGAAACCTGAGTTCTCACTAGCCCCGTGGCCACTGGCAGACAAAGAGCAACCTGGAGCCTGGACTAAATTCGTAAGGCAGTCAGGACAAAAAGGGTACAGTCCTTGGGCAATTCCTGTGGCTGTGCTGGCTCAGAACCAGTGGACTTGGGTGCATGTGACCCAGTGAGACACCAGCCGCAGTAGCCAAGCCAATGCCTGTGCCATTTCCCCCTCCCCCAACTACAGGCAGTGCAGCTCAGGGGGTCTTCTACTTGGGGAAAGGAAAGGGAAAAATTCAGAGGACTTTGTTTTGCAACCCAGGTACCAGCTCAGCTACGGTAAAAATAAAGTGCCAAGAAGACTCCTGAAGCCCCTGAGTTCAGGCCTTACTTCCTTGATGGCATTTTTGGACCCACGCTAGGCCAAAAGGAAACAGGTTGCCCTGAAGGGAAGGACCCAGTCCTGGCAGGATTCACCACCTGCTGACTAAAGAGCCCTGGGGCTTTGAATAAACATCAGAGGTAGCCAGGCAACAGTCACCATGGGCTTTGGGTGAGACTGGGCTGGCTGGCTTCAGGTGTCACCTGGTGCTGGTGGCCATGAGGCACTGCCCATGTCACTACTTCCCTAACTACAGCAGGCCAGCAAAGAAAGTGAGGGAAAAGAGAGAGACTTTGCCTGGTATAATCCAGAGAATTCTCCCATATTTTACCCAGGTCTACCAAGCTGTCACCACAGGAGCCTGCAAGAGTCATAGCATTCCTGGACTTGGGGCACCCCCAGTGCTGATACAGCTGCAGTGACCAAGACTTAGATCACAACACTCAATTCCCTTTGAATATCTGGAAAGCCTTCCCTAGAAGGACGCGTTTAAACAAGTCCAGACTGCGAAGATTAAAATAAATACCTGCCTGTTAAATGCCCAGACACAGGTGAACATCCACAATCATTAAGAACACCCAGGAAAACATGACCTCACCAAACAAACTAAATAAGTTACCAGTGACCAATTCTGGAGTGATGGACATATGTGACTTTTCAGACAATGAGTTCAAAATAGCTGTCCTGAAGAAGCTTAGTGAATTTCAAGGTAAATTATATAGTTTTAAAATTGTGACTGATTGTATTTTTCAACTAGAAGTTATTGGTCCTTGCAACTAACTAAAGTGTTTCTTCTACAATAATAATCCACTTGTTCATTTAGTGAATACAAATTAAGTATCCTTTATCCAAAATGCCTGGCACCATAAGTGTTTCAGATTTCTGATTTTGGGGGGATATGGAATATTTGCACATACATAATGAGATATATTGGGGATGAAACCCAAGTCTAAACAGAAAATTTATTTGTGTTTCCTATATACCTTATATAAAAGCCCGAAGGTAATTTTATACAATATTTTAAATGATTTTGTGCATGAAAAAAAGTTTGTGTTAAGTACTTTTGTGTGGAATTTTCCACTATGGCATCATTCAGGTTGGTGCTCAAAAAGTTTCAGATTTCAGGCCATGTGATCTCAAATTTTTGGATCAGGGATGCCCAACTTGTACTTATTGAATGTATATGAGGGTTACAATGGTGAATAAGACAAATAGGACTTTATGGATCTTAAAGTGTGCCTGGGACCAGTATGTGCAAACACCCTAATGTAGGATGGACCTTAGTGCTTTTGAGAACTGTAGAGAAGCCCTTATGGGTTGACCATACTGAGCAAAGGAGGAGGGCAGGGGCCAGAGCATGGTACACTCCCTTAAGGGAAACACACACACACATGCATACACAGACACACACATATACACACAGTATTAGTTTTATGTTGTTGCTGTTACAAATTACCACAAAATTAGTGGTTTGAAATAACATTTATTATCTTAGAGTTCTACAGGTTAGAATTCTAACATGGTCTCAATGGGCTACAATTACTGCATTTCTTTCTGGAGATTCTAAGGGAAAGTTCATCTCCTTGCTTTTTCCACTTCTAGAGGCCACCCACATTCCTTGGCTCTTGGACTCCTTCCTCCATCTTCAAAGACAACAGCCCTTTTGTTACTACAGAGGTTCTGTTAATTGTCTGTGGCGAATGTATCTTGCTCTTGCTCTGTAAACCTATCTTGCCCTTCCTCAATAAACTTCATTTCACACTTGCCTTGCCTTTGGTGTGTCTGGTCATTCTCACCAAGAACCAAGAACGGACAACTACGACCCGACAGGTCTTTGTGCGACGAGCAACTAGACCTATGCTGAAACCCCCTTGTGGTTTTGACAGCAAAACTAAGGAGATGGGATTAATCTAGGGGGAGGTCATTTGGTCATTTTAGCTAAAGATGAAATTAATTCTGGGTGGAGGTCACAAGATTGTCTTAGCCAAAGAGGGGATTGAGCAGAACCTTTAAAAACTCTGTATTTCTGCTCAGAAGCAGGACATTGGCACTTTGAGACAAGAGTCTGCCAATTTCCTCATTTACCAGCAAATTAATAAACTTCTCTTTCCTTCTCCTCAAACTTAACAGAAGAAATGCCTTGAAAAAATGGCAAAAAAAAAAAAAAAAAAAAGTGCCAACAATGCTGCATTTCTCTGATCTTTCTTCCATGGTCATATATACTTTTCTGATCAAAACAATTTTAAAGACCCTTGTGATTCGATTAGGCTCACTGGATAATCTCCTCATCTCAAGGTCTTTAATTTAATCATATTTGTTTATGTTGCCTTACAAGATAACATCTACAAGTTCTAGCAGTTAGGACATGGATATCTTTGGGGGTCATTATTCTATCTAACATACACTTCCATGTATAAAGATAGATATGTAATGGATTTTCAAATTTATATAGAAATTTTTCTCAAAGAATTTGAAATAAAATACAGGAACATAAAAAAATATAAGAGAATGTATCCCAAACCAGAGGCATAATCATTTTAGAAAAAATAGAGTTAAGGATTTTTCATGTATATATTATTAATATATCTTTGATGGGATATTGCCACTGATGTTGAAGAAAAAAAGAACTGGAGAATCACAGAGTCAACATTATGAATAATTCTTAGAAACATGATATTGGGGGGGGGGAAAGCAAGTTTCAGAAGGCTACCCAAGTATATGTTTAAGGTCCATGTTTGAATTTCTTTAGGGTGGCCATAACAAATAGCTACAGATGTTGTAGCTTTAAAGAACAGGAGTTTATTTATTCTCCCACCATTCCGGAGGCGAGAAGTCCCAAATCAAGGTGTTGGAGGGCCAACACTTCACCTAAGGTGAGGAAGGCTCTGGGGAAAAGTGCTTCCTTGCCTCTTTATAGCTTCTGGTGCTTGTTGGCAATTCCTTAGCATTCCTAGGCTTGTAGCTGCATCACTACAATCTCTGCCTCCATTGTCACTGGCTTCCTTCCCTCTGTCTCTCTGTTTCCCTTCAAACCTCTCTCTCCTTATAAAGACTCAATCATTGGATTACGACCTACCCTAACCTAGTATGACTTCATCTTGACTTGATTATATCAGCAAAGACCCTATTTCCAAAGAAGGCCACAATCACACGTTGGGGGAGTGGTTAGGACTTGAATATATCTTTTAGGGGGACACAATGCAGCCCATAACAGTCAGGTTTCCCAGGAAACGGACTCTGAGATTGAGATTTGCTTGCAGGGGATATATTTTGGAGCACTCTGGGGAACAACATCCTTAAGGGAGTGAGGGAACCAGAATTGAGTTAAAAGAGAAGTGGAACTGCCTTGCAGTTTTAATGCCACAGGGAGCTCTGAAGCTGGGAAGGCTTTTCAGAGACGTTTATAATTGAGGCAAATGGTCCAGGCTTTTGCACGTCTACATAACCAGTCACTGGGTGCAGGCTGCCCCTGGGGAGGGGGCAAGGCAGCTCCCTTTGGCCAAAGACAGGGCCCATAGAGGGACACAGCTGTGAGCCCTCAGTAACCAGCATGCTCAGCAAATGCGGGAAGGAATGTCTTGGTCCTGAAGGGGCGATCTTTGTTGCCTTCCCAAACACCACTGTGTTATGCTTTCATAACAGAGCTCAAAAATGAGTAAAACTAAACAATATATTATTATTTCATTTATATTTGTGATAACAGTATATATATATATATATATTTAAAAGCGGTAGTAGGATACACAACATTTAGGGCTGTGCTTACCTTTGGAGAATGGGATAGGGTAGATTCTTGGGGCTTTTTGGTGTTTGAGTTGGGTGGTAAGTTTAGTTTTTCCTTACATTGTGTTTTATAACTTGTGTGTTTCATCTAATCTTTGGTATGCATCAAATATATTTACAAAGATAATATGGTGAAGGCAAGAACTAGGAAAAAGTTATAAAAAGATTCTAGCTAAATTAGCTATGATTGTTAGAAAAAAATATGGGTAAAGATAGCAAATCTTGAGTCCATTGCTGAAGTAAGCATTCAGGTGAAGAAAAACTTCTCCTGAAATTCTGCTATATTATTTACCTTAAGTTTGCTTGCATAATTGTCTTAAGGTTTTCTTATTTTTGGCTGGAAGTATGTTGTTGGGAAACTATCGTGGTTTACTTTCCCTTTCACCTACTTTTAAACTGGTTTGTTTGCCATGGCACTAATTTCTTAAGCAAAAGTATTCTGAGTAGGCTTGCTGGAAGGATTATTAGATCTGCTGATACAATAAAGAAAACCAGTTAATGTGTAATATTGATATGTCATGATTTCACTATGGTTTTTTTGTTGTTGTTTTCTTTGAGACAGGGTGTTGTTCTGTCTCCAAGGCTAGAGTGCAATGGCATCATCATAGCTCACTGTGGCCTCAAACTCCTGGGCTCAAGGGATCCTCCTGCCTCAGCCTCTCAAGTAGCTGAGACTACAGGCATGTACCACCACATCCAGCTAATTTTTAAATGTTTTTGTAGAGATGGGGTCTCACTATGTTGTCCAGGTTGGTCTCAAACTCCTGGGCTCAAGAGATCCTCCTGCCTTAGCCTCCTGAGTAGCTGGGATTACTGGTTTGAGCTACTGCCCCTGGCCTCACTATCATATTTTTTGTGGTATATTATTGGGTAGAGAAAAAAAGTTGTTGGATTATTATTGTATGATCAGTTCTTAGTTTTAAAAAAGTATGTGTATGTCATGTTATATATATCATATAGTTTTATACTCACATAGAAAAAAAAATAGAATACACTACAAACTGCCAACCATGATTAGTGGGAATAAGAGATGGGGTGGGATACCTTTTCATTTTATATAATTTTGTAAGCCTTTGCAACTCAAAAATAAGTGAAATATTAAAACTATAATTTTATCCAGGTGTGGTGGCAAGTACCTGTAGTCCCAACTATTCTGAAGGCTGAGGCGGGAGGATCACTTGAGCCCAGGAGTTTGAGAGTGTAGTGACCTATGATCATTCTACTGAACTCCAGCCTGGGCTGACAGAGCAAGACCCTGTTTCTAAAAAAATAAAATAAAATAAAAACTATAATTTCAAATTACTTGTTTCAAAATGACTGATTTTTGTTTTATTTGAGGAATATGTGTATCGAAGACTTCATGAAATGTGAATGTAAGTCCTATTATAAAATAGGTGATAGAGTAGAAAGAACCCTGGATTTTTTAGTACAGACTTGGTTCTAGAAACAGGCCTGCTGTACTAAAGTGGTCCTTATGCAAGAAGTTCAAGTTAAAGAGCCTGTTTCCTTGTTGGAAAAATGGGGGTATTATTGTGATGTTTGAATGAGGTAATGCATGTGAAATCGCTTTGAAAATGATAATGCAATATTGAAGCATAATAAATGTTAGTGTTTTTTTCTTATGGTAATATTGTTTGTTATAGAAATTAAATATTAGCTTTTTGGAAACCTCCCAATTTCTAATGCTGAAGATTCAGTTTCTTTTAAATTGGTTGTTCATCACAGCATTTCTTTTTTTTAACCTAGGATTGGACAACCGAAGTTAAAGACGAATTAAAGTTCCATATGTTGAACTGTGTTTAAATGAAGATGAGAAAGAAGAAGACAGAACTGTTAAAAAGTTTTATTATAGAGCCAAATGAAAGATTCAGCTCTGTGTTCCAAAGGGTTGACCAAGATGGTATGCTTAAAAATTCCTAGCTTCTATGAAATACCCTAATTATGAAATTTTCTTTTATCATATTGAACTATTCATAATTTCATCACAAAAATCTGATCTGAAACTTGATTTACAGAAATACTGAAAATGAATTTCAAATTAAATGGGAACATTTGTATACTAATATGATATAACATATTGTTGCTTAATTTTTTATATTAAAGACTATTATAAACTCTACATATTTTTAATAAATGAGACTGAAATCCAATGTTGTTGTGTCTGTGTATGTTATTTGTGTAACAACAAAATGTTACTAGAAACTCTTTTACTCTCCCTTGTCCATTTTTTAATACTGCCTTCTCTGAGCTGGTTCTGGAGACATGATTTCATAGCCACACCTGTTTAATTCAAATCCCAATTCTGCCACTTACTCTCTATATGAAAGTTACTTAAATGCTTTAAGCCTCAGTTTCCTCATCTGTAAAATGGGGGTAAGACTAGTACCTTACTCACTGAACACTTAATATCTGCCAATCACTGCTAAATGTTTAAGTAGTATTATCCCTGTTTTACCAATGTAGAGTTTGAATGCTTAAATCTATACAAGATCATGCAACTAATAAGAGCTGGAGTCAGGATCTGGTTCCAGATTTACCTGACACTAAAGCCCAGAGTTACATAGTATTAGTTCCTCTTTGGAGAACTATTAATGGTTTCACATTGTACACATACATATGTACAATTTTTAATAAAAAATAGTCTTGTTAATTGCATGGATTATAGCTAGACATTATAGAAAAAGAATGGATACCAAAAAGAGATGGTTTCAATTGTTAATATTCCTTTTAGTTAAAATAATACACTCAAAATAAATTCTAACAGCAGGGCAAAGTCTAGTTCCATGGTACCTGTTCTTATTTATTAAAAAATCCTGTATCAACAATTATTATTTATTGCCTATTTAATTTTTTGCCAGATGCTATGGTATTTGCAAGAGGCACATTAGAGTATTTTGCAAAACCACAACAGAGCTTCCACTGGGTGTTTGTTGCTGTCTCCTCCACCCTACCCCACTTGATTTATGCATATTCTCTGATCCCA